AATTCACTTAGAGGGGTGTTACCACGAAAACCAGAGGTACAGTAATAGGGTCCGCCTTTCATAAAATTCTGACACGCTGCTCTAAGTTGTACAAAAAAAATTTTATGATCATTTTTGTCATTTTGGCTTGGTGGCCTAACTTTCTCGAAATTTGGTTTTCTAGGCCATCATGATAGATTAAAGTAGATTTTGTTTCAAATGATTTCCTAATCATTTTCCACTTTTTAGAACTCTAAAATATTGACTTTGAACCGAGTTATGCTCAATTTGGTGGAATTGCTCAGAATAAAAATTTTCAGTATTTCGACTATAACTCGGTTGGAAATGGAGATTCCGGAGCGATCTTTTGATCAATTTGTAGGAAATTGGAAGACGCATCTGGTCATATAAAATTCAAAACCTAGCAAAAAAATGGTTTGGTGGCCTAACTTTCTCAAACTTTGGCTTCCTAGGCCATCATGCCAAACTTATTTGGATTCGGTTCCAAATATCTTCCTGATCATTTTCCACTTTTCAAAACTCAAAAATATTGAATAAAGTTTCCGAGTATTTCGACGACACAACTCGGGTAGAAATGAAGATTTTGGAACGATTTTTTGACCGACTTGTAGGAAATTTGAAGGGGCATCTAGCCGTATAAAATTTATGAGATAACATGAAAATGACTTGATGGCCTAACTTTCCCACAACTCGGTTTTCTAGGCCGCCATGTCAAGTTCAATTGGATTTTGTTCCAAATGACTTCCTGATTATTTTCCACTTTCCAGATATCGAAAAAAATGAGTTTGAGCCGAGTTACGCTAAATTTTTTGGAATTGCTCAGAATACAATTTTCCAGTATTTCGACTATAACTCTGCTCAAAATGAAGATATCGGCCAGATTTTTGGACTAAACTGTAGGAAATTTGGAGTCGGATTTAGGGATATAAAATTCAAAAGCTAGTATGAAAATGACTTCGTGGCCTAACTTTCTCAAATTTTGGTTTTCTAGGCCACCATGCCAATTTTGTATGGATTCTGTTTCAAATGATTTCCTGATCATTTTTTACTTTTCAGAACTCAAAAATAGTGAGTTTCAGCCTAGTTATGCAAAATTTGGTGAAATTGCTCAGAATAAAATTTTCTAGTATTTCGACTATAACTCGGTTCAAAATGAAGATATCGGCCTGATTTTTAGACTAAGCTGTAGGAAATTTGTCGATGGATCTAGGGATATAAATTTCAAAAGCTAGCATAAAAATGACTTGGTGGCCTAACTTTCTCAAAAATTTGGGCTTCTAGGCCATGATCTCAAATTCATTTGGATTCGGTTTCAAATGATTTCCTGATCATTTTCCAATTTTCTGAACTCAAAAATATCGATTTCGAGCCGAGTTATGCTGAATTTTGTGAAATTGCTCAGAATAACATTTTCCAGTATTCTAGCAATAACTCAGTTCAAATTGATCATTTCGGATCGGTTTTTTGGCTATTTTGTAGGAAATTCAAAAGGGCTTCTAGCCATATAAAATTTATAGTGATGGCCTAACTTTATCAAAATATGGATTTCTAGGCCACCAAATTAAATTTGGGCTAAAAGCCTTTCTAAAGTCAAAAATTGAGATTTAAAAAAAAAAAAAGGTTTTCAACGCGAAACATTTTCCCATCCATCATCCAATTTCTCACCCACGGAGGTTGCATCCTACCTATCTCATCCACAGGGGATCCAGGGGAGAAGTGATATCGAATACTTTGACAGCTGATGTACTTCTCTCTTCAAAACATTATGATTTCCGAAGGGGAGCACACAATTTGTAGTACACGAGGAGAAGATTGATGGGATGGGATGAGATGGGAAGGTGAGAAATTGAGAAGGAAAAGATAATATTTAGGAGGTGGGAATTTGATATTATTCTAAAATCTGAGGCTGGTGAAAAATAATTCCAAAAATTTCCCTCGGGGAGCCCCGCACTACTAACAAAAACAAAGCGAAACCCCTCATTTTCTATCACCTTTTCTCACCAAAAAATAATTAATTTTTCTTATAAACAAAAATAAAGTATTTTTCTTCTTTTTCTTTTGAAAATTTTTATCAACAGGTTTTTAGAAACTGGTGTATTCAGTGCAAAACTTTCAGATTCTGGAAGTTTTTTCTGTTGCCCTGGTAGATCAAAAAATTTTCTATCAATTGTCATATATTTTATAAAGGGCTTTTTCGGAAAATATAGGTGAAAAATAAACATTTAGGCCTAAAGTTATTTTGAATTTTTTACCTACATTTTCTGTAAAACCCTAACTGCCGTTTATACCAATCGATAGGGAATTATTCGATCTAAAATTCTAAAAATCTTATAATGCAGTTATTCATGATCAGAAAAACAGCACTGGAATGCATTGACAACAACTGAAACCATATAACGAAAACTATGTAATTGAGCGGCGTCTTAAATTTTTCAGTCCCTGTAATAGAGCGGCCCCTGAGGGGATATTGAAACTAGAGCGCTTCACTTTAATTGAACGGTTTCCATAGAAAACGGAAAACTTCCAATTCAAAAAAAAAACAGGATTTACGCTCAAAATAATCGGAAAAATCAAGAAAACGACCAATTTTTGAGTTTTTTTTTTGGAACGAACACATTGAAAACAGAGCGGCCCCCTTTTATCGTACGGCCCCCCGTATTAGAACGGCCACCTGGAGTGGGGGTTAATACTAGAGCGGCCGAACGTTCTGCTAAAGAGTTTACGGTATTATAACAGGTAGTGTTTGCAGCCAAACCCATGTGAAGGCGCAAGAACTTTCATGAGAATGGTCTCAACACGAATCGGCCGTTATTATATAAGCCGTTATTCGCTGTAAGACCTTTCCGAAAATTGAGTAACCAACCTATCATTGAGTAATCAAAAGACCAAAATGGAAACTTGAGAGAACCTAACTATGTAAACCATCAGAAGAACCATTTCTAAGATTTTTGAGAAACCAGTTCCTTCCCAAAAAGTCACACCATTTTCGTTGTTTCCATTCCAAAAAACTCATTTTCCTAATGTCTTCCCTCGATAATTTCCCCAAAAAAATATCAGATTAGAATCGCTTACTATGTGTGTGTGTACTGAATTCAATTAGAGAACAGAAAGAACGGAGAGAATTAGAGAAAAAATTCAGATGGCAGAAAGAAGAAGAGAAAAGGAACAAACAAAAAGTGACCAAAGGACGCTAAAAATGCCAAAAATAACAGATTTGCAGAAAAAAAAATGGTGGAATTCTGAAAGAAATCCAGGAAGAATGGTGGGAATTTAAAGAAAAAACCCGAAAAAATGGTGGGAATCTGTAGAAAATGAGTGTTCTAGGACACTAAAACGTCCAGTTTTCCCCATATAAATTGCTACATTAAAAAGATAATTACAATTAAAACAACAACACTTTTATTGATACTGACGGACTGGGGTGGACAGGATCCTACCTTAAAGGCGCAGAATCCATTGCATGCGCCTTTAGGGTAGACAGTTAAAACAACAACAGTACTACTGAAAAAAGTGAGAAAAAAGTGAAAAGAGAAGGCGGAAGAAGAAGAACAGATAGGGGAAAACAGACAGAAGAGAAATGCGAAAAAATGGGTGTAATCTTGATTCTTCGGTACACAGAATGGTAAAAGATGATGGCAGGAGAAATGTTCTTTATATAGGAAAGGTAACAACACTTTGCAAAATTTGAAGGGAACAATGGAAAAATTCCTTCAAAAAAAGCGTTTATTCATTTTTGAATTTTACATTGTAGATCAAAAAATTACCTATAGAATGACATAAATATCATATAGCGTTTCTTAGTGAAAACCCATAAAACGCATAATTTTATGCCTGACTTCTTTAGAAAATCCTTATTATCTCAAAAACTAGAATTCCTATCGAAAAGTTGTCCACTGCACTCTTGCTCTACATAAAATTTTTCACATATTTGTCTTTTGAACCAATTCTCTAGCTATTCTGGTTCTCGAGATACAGAGCTTCAAAGTAGGGGTGCCCTTCTCGGCGGTGAGAGCGCTTCTGGAGGTGTCTCCTTTAGAAAATTCAAATTATCTCAAAATCTAGAAATCCTATCAAATAGTTGTCAACTACCAATTTGATCTACACAAAATTTTACATATTTTTGTCGCTTGAATCGTTTCCTTAGCTATTCTAGTTCTCGAGATACAGGGCTCCAAAGTTGAGGTGACCTTTTCGGCGGCGAGAGACATAGAGAGAGAGAGATGGCAGACACACAGACGGTCTCTTTCTCTGCGTCCCACACTCTCTCTCTCTCTCTTTTTTCTCTCAGTGTAACTCGCTTTTGGACTGCTATTTTCAGATGCCTCGAAAACCATTCTGTAGTGATTTTCAGACAAATTTCCTACGAAAACAGGAAGGAAAAGCTGAAAAATTGCTGTTTTCAGAAAATCCAAATTATCTCAAAAACTTGAATTCCTATCAAAAAAGTGTCAACTGCAGTTTTGATCTACATCAAAATTTACACATATTTGTCTCTCAGACCATTTTTCGAGCTTTTCTAGTTTTTGAGATACAGTGCTTCAAAGTTGGGGTAGGCAAAAAAATGGAAAAATAAATATTTTTGATTTCCAACCCGCCAAATAACTCCCCCCGAAAAATAAACAAAATTAAAAATCCATTAAACAAATCTCTCGCCTTCACCCCCTTCTAAAATTCAATTCACGGACACATCTGGCCCCAATCAACATACACACATGCACACTCTCACCCATGAGGGCGCCCCACAAAAAGAAGACAAGAAGGACAAAGACAAATTCATTTTGAATAAAAATGATGATGACAAGATAAAGAAACTGCTTAGTTGGCATGTTTGACAACGACAAGACGACGACGTACTTTGTAGCCACCTGCTGCCGCCTTCTCGACTGTTGGGGTCCGTTCGGGGCATTGACAGTAGGCTGCATCGGCTCCTGGGAGTCCTGGCTCACCGGGGCTGAAATAGAGTAGGTTAGGAAGATTGAAAAAAAAAAGAAAAAAAGATTTGGCCCCAGTGGGGATTGAACCCGGGTCGCGAGATTCAAAAACGGAAGCGCTAACCACTAGGCCAATGAGGTGCTCGGTGACATGAGAGGTAGACGGCATACAGGTTGCGGCGGCGCCCGGAAAAAGGGGAGAGGGGAAAAAAAGAGACTAAAACCCTGGTGAAACAATAGCCTAGTGGTTAACACTGCTGTTTTCTAATTTCGCATCCCGGGTTCAATCCCCCTCGGGGTCAAATCTTTTTTTCTTTTTTTCTAGATTGCCAGCACCGGTTTTTAGTCATTTTTACGCTACCAGGAACATCAAAATGTCAAAAATCCGACCAAAAAGCAGAAATTTGGAGGGTAAGAAGTCGACCACCGCGATAAAAACGTTACAACCAGTGATATGTTTCCATCTCACACTAGCCCAACCCAGGACCAGGAAAATCTCATTAATGGGAACCCATTAATGTGTTTCTTTCTCTTTGTGTCGCCGGGACCGCTGGGTTTTAGGAAAAATGGAAAAAGTACCTTTTTTCGGAGCTCTTGGGTCTAAATCCAATGCTCAGGGCCCTACTTAGGGCCCAAGCCTATGAACGACCCAAGACCCCTAATTTTCTGGGCCCAAAACTGGGCTTAGGGCCCAAATTTGAGGGAAACTTACATTCCAACATTTCCATCTGGTCCCTGCTCTCCATCGTTTCCAGGTTGTCCAGCCAGTCCGGCGTCTCCATACTCTCCAGGTCTTCCATTGTTTCCTGGGGCACCTCTTGGTCCCTCCATCCCTCTGGGTCCCTGCTGTCCAGGACTTCCCGGTTGTCCGACTCCTCTCTGCCCATCTCTCCCCGGTCTTCCTGGATTTCCATCTCTTCCTGGCTGCCCGTCCCGCCCCTTGGTCCCAGTTGGTCCCCGTGGTCCTGTGGGTCCCTCGTTGCCCGGTGCACCATCTTGTCCTGGATTTCCATCTCTTCCAGGCTCTCCGGGCACTCCATCGGGTCCCTGCTCCCCGGGTGGTCCTGCTGGACAGGATACGGTAGAGTCCGAGGAGCTACCGTACTCCTCTTGCGGGGTGTGACCGTCTTGACCGTCTGGACCGGCTTGACCGTCGGAGCCATCGGATCCGGGCTCTCCAGGAGGTCCTGGAGGTCCGCGGGGGCAGTTGGAGGCCTTTTCGCCGCAGTTACAGGATCCTGAGGTGGATCTTTTGAAGATTTGGTGCTCTGGAATGGTGGAGGAGGAGGAGAATTTGTTGGAGGAGCCGGAGCTCACCAAGAACCACGCATCGTTGTAGATGTCCTGAAAAAAACCTCTAATTGAGGGGCACTCGGTATGGAACTGGGGTTGGACATCCGGACACTTGACCGGACATCCGGACATCGGTCTGGACAGCCGGAAATGTATCTGGACATCCGGATTTCTTCCAAGATATCCGGAGGCATAGCAGGATATCCGGACATCCAGACACACAAATTTTTCAAAAACATAAAATTGGATGTCTTGAATATTTGAACGTCTCGACGACCAAACATCCCGATTTAACTGTGTTTGGTCACCAGGATGTTCAGATAAAATGTGGACATCCGGACATCCGGACAGACGGACAGACATCTGGACATCCGGACAGACAGACAGACAGACAGATATCTGGATAGACAGGCAGGCATCTGGACATCCGGATATACAGACAAACATTTGAAAATCCGGATAGACAGACATACATCTGGAAATCCGGATAAGTAGACAGACGTATGGACACCCGGATAGACAGACAGACATGTGGACATCCAGATACCTGGACTTCCGGATTTCGGGAGATCTGGATATCTGGATATGTAGACATCCGAACAGACATCCTTTCAGAAACGCAGAGCAGCGAGACTTTCGGACATCCGTACAAACAGGCAAACGTACGGAGAGACGCAGAGAAACCAGACAGTCTAGTTTCTCTGCGTCTCTCTCTCTCCCTCTCTCTTACCTTAAATCCTCCCAACTCTTGCTCGACTTCCGAATGAAAATCGTACAAATCATTGTACATGAAAGTGGTGAATAGCAGTGCGGCAATGATCGCAACTGAAGAGAATACGGTAGCCGCGTAGAGGATTTTCGTAGTCCCACCAGTCATTTTTTTTCGGATGAGGTGACTTGGAAAAGGACGGTGGACCTATATATACCCTCACTTTTGGTTGTAAGAAACTGGATTTTTGCGCGGTTAGGTCGGTTAGGTTTTTTGAGGATTACAACTAAGGATGTCGCGTTATCAGTGTAGTGTAATGGAGGAGAGATATGCGCGTTTAAGAGACGCAGAGAAAAAGAGTAGTATGACTTTAAAGGCGCATATCTCAAAAAGGAACGGTGTTAGGAAAAAAATGTCAACAGCAAACTTGCTCAGAATTTAATTTTGAACAAGTTTGCTGTTGACAATTTTTCTGTAACTTTTTTTCCCAACTGAGATATTTGCTTTTAAAGCTGCTCCTGAAAGAGACGCAGGAGACAAAATACTTCAAAGGCGCATATCTCAGAAAGGTGCAATGCTAGAAAAAAGTTGCCCACAGCAAACTTCCTTAAAATTGAATTCTGAGCAAGTTTGCTGTTGACAATTTTTCTATAGCTCTTTTCCTAAACGAGATATGCGCCTTCAAAGATGGCTTTCAAGAGAGACGCAGGAGACAGAACACTTCAAAGGCGCATATCTCAAAAACGGACGGAGCTAGGGAAATATTGTCAGCAGCAAACTTGCTCAAAGTTTAATTTTAAGCAAGTTTGTAGTTGGCAACTTTTTTGTATCTTCCACAGGAGCCGAGATAAAAAAAACTCCAATCAAGAACAGAAGTTTGTCTTTTTCAGAACAGGAGTTTGTCTGTCTGGTGCCATTCTATTAGAGTACTTATGATCTCTAGAATAATCGCTGATACATCATCTCCAATTTATCATAGTTTTTCGCTAAATTCAACACGAAACAAAAAATTGGAAAGTACAGATTATCCCAGGGGAACAGGAGGATTATTAATTTGGACTGTGTGTACCCTCGTCCCCATTTTCGTGTTCATTTACACTTTTTTGTCTGTAGATAGACATGATTCGGTATTTAGTCCTTTTTTTGGTGGTGGTTGCCGTGTATTTGCAGTATGTGGTGTCTCAGGAACAGGAACAGTATGTTCTGGTTAAGGTGAGTATTGAAAAGTTTGGTTAGGTAGCCTAGCTTTTTCAAAATTCGGTTTTCTAGTCCACCACTTAAGTGAATTACGACTTCCCGATCATTTTCCAGTTTTTGAAACTCAAAAATATTGATTTTGAGCTGAGTTTTACTAAATTTTGTGTAATTGCTCAGAATAATTTTTTTTTGTATTTCGCCTATAACTCGGCAGTAAATAAAGATTTCGGATAAGTTTTTATAACAAGTTATAGATGATTTAAAGGTGCATCTGGTCAATAAAAATTCGTAGACTTTCATGGAAATAGTTCGGTGGCCTAACTTTTCCAAAATTGGGTTTTCTAGGCCACTATGGCAAACTTGAGTGATGTACGTTCTAAATGATTTCCTGATGATTTTACACTTTTTAGAACTCAAAAATATTG